ATTTGCATGTGGGCACAGCCAATTAAAGACTTCCTGCTCCTTCGTTTATATGTAAATGAAGCCAACTCAGCTTTTTGATAGGACAGTTTTGATAGGACAGCCTGATGCCAGGAGAGTATCTGAGAGCACAATATGTGTCCCAGTGTGTTATTTGCATGAGAGGGGGATCACCTGGGTGTTTGGAACAGGAAACCCCTTTCCCTTCTCCTCAGGGGTCGCTGTGAGACTTCCCACCAGCCCACTCCCTGCTGCAGAATGTATGCTTTTCCACCTGCTGCGTGGCAGCCCGAGGCTCCGCGCGCTGCTCTGGGATGGACTGTTCACCTGCCTTGGTCCACCGCATCTCTACCTCAAAAATGAGAATGGAAACGTCCCTTCGTGAGCGAGACCTGTCGCTGCAGGACGCACAACATGCTCTAAAATCTGATTTCTGACGTTCCAGGGTCGCTGGCATCCGCTCCTGACTTCCCTGTTCTCTGTCCCTTCCTTAAGCCATGCCTGCTTACCCTCCTGTAAAAACTAATCCTGGGCCTTCCTCAAGGAGCCCTGGCCCCTGGCTCCCAACAGCTGCTCAGTCACCCCAAAAGCTTTGGGATTTGGAGTCCTGCGAATCCCCTCCTGATGGCGGCTCCCTCTGGCAGCCTCACTATTTCTGGCTCCTTCCAGTAGTGTCTGAAGTTCAAAGAAAACAGGAGGACCCAGGAGCGTGGATGTGAGCGCGGGCTGGGACGCGAAGGGGAGGCAGAGTTCCTTGACCCCCGGAGCCTCAGCTGCCGCCCACTGACCTCGGCCCAGGCAAAGTCAGTTCATCCGCTGTCAGCCAGATGGGTTGCCTGGGAGATGAGGACTGTCCTTCCTGTCACCTGGAACTTCGCAGAGCCAGGAGTGGTGGATCTCCTCCTCCGGATCTGGCCTGGTAGTGACCAATTCCCAGGCTGAGGTCCCGGGCACCCCCTGTAACCATCGCTTCTCCCTCCAGATCACTTATCCCTTGGTTTAAGATAAAAAACAAACTACCGTGAAGACTGATGAAAGTGGGGAGCACAAGCCAAAGACTTTCTTTTTTTTTTTTGTTTTATTCTTCCTGGGCTTTTGAACAATCCACTGCCTGGTGCATGTTAGGCAGCTGGTCTACCACTGAGCTACACTTCTACTTGATTGTCTGTGTGTGTGTGTGTGTGTGTGTGTGTGTGTCTGTGTCTGTGTGTGTGTGTGTCTGTGTGTGTGTGTGTATCTGAGGATTGAGTCCAGGGCCTTTGCACTGAGTACATCCCCAGCCTTTTTCTCTTTTTCTTTCTTTCTTTCTTTCTTTCTTTCTTCCTCCCTTCCTTCTTCCTTCCTTCCTTCTTTCCTTTCCTCCTCCTCCTCCTCCTCCTCCTGCTCCTCCTCCTCTTCTTTTTTTCAGAATCTCACTAAGTTGCTAAATTGCCCAGGTGGAGTTCAAATTTGCCACGTTCCTGCCTCAGTCTCCAAGAAGCCTGACCCTGGTGTCCAGTCTTTGTGGTCTGAATACACTGATCAGGTTGGCAGTGGTATAGAAAAGACAACCCACGATTAGTCTGTGAGGAGTCACGTGGTCTTTTTTTTAAACTTCAATTGAGTTTTTAACTGCTACCTCAGGATATAAAAGTGTCCATATTAATCGCATAGCGGGTGTGCCATGTTGAATCAGGTTAAATATCTGTCTTCTCAAACATTTTTCCTTACTTAATGATGAAAAACATTCAAAATGCCTTTTTTGCAATGTTGGGATTGAACCCAGGACCTCATGCACGCTGGCAAGTGCCCTCGCTCTGAGCTTCCTTCCTAGCTTCTTCAGATTTGCAGCTCCGGGTCTTTATCTGCGGTCTCCCTGAGGTGCAACCACACAGCACAACTCCTTGATCCTGTCTAACTTGGCACCTGTTGACCAACCTCAGGCTCTGGGAACCGCCCATCCAGTCTCGTCTCCTGGGAGGCCAGCTCTCACATTCACACAGGACTGGGACCATGTGCAATCTGCGTCTCCGTGCTGGCTTATTTCACCTGACACAATGATCCCCACTTCCCTCTGTACTGTGGTGAGCAACAGGATTCCACATTTTTTAAGGCTGAGTAGTATTCCATTGTGCATATGCACATCATTTTCTCTGTCCACTCATCAGCTGAGAGGGACACAGGCAATCTCCACGTCTTAGCTATTGTGAACAGTTGGATGTTTCTCCACACATAGATTTCATTTCCTTTGGAACAATGCCCAATGGAGGAACTGCTGGATCAGATGGTAGCTCTATTTTGAATTTTTTTCAGAAATCATCATGTTGTTTTCCTAGTGGCTGTACTAACTTGCTTTTCACCCATGGCATACAAGGCTTCCCTCTTCTCCATATCGCCAGAAGTTTGTTACGGGTTTGTTTATAGCAGAATATGCCCCTTCTTGCCCTATTCTCATATGTTCCTGTGCCCAGGGAGAGAGAAGGCACCACTGAGCAGGGCTGGGGTAGACAACTTCTTGGTCCAAACTCCTCCCGAGCTTCCTCGCCACGCCCTGCAAGTCAGACCTCCTGGTGGATGTTCATGCGCCAAGGGCCATCAACCCTCCCGACTTCTACACTGCGTATTGGCTATAGTGGTTGTGTCAGCTGCCTTGGGGGAAGTATTTTTTGCTCACTGTTCTTATCTCCTTCCTTACCTTTAGCTCCAAATCCACCAGAAAAGCTTAAAACACTGTTGCACCGACCTTTTCTGATCCACGGGGAGGAGATCCACTTAGCAAGAGCCCCGCCAGCCCAGATGTGTTGAGAGGAAGCAGCTGGAAATGCAAGGAAGAGAGGGGGTACGTGCAAGCCCACAAAGAAGGGGAGCAGCATGAGGCTTCTCCCCAAATACCGTTCTGTCTGCAATTAATTCACAAAAGTGCAGGTGGGAGTTGCGCTTTTAGAAATTGAGGTTAGGACCTGATAAATGTAACCTGGCTCCCTGTACCCAGACAGCAACTGGCATCAGAGCTGGCCTTTCTGGGAGGAAGGAGACAGCCTACCCAGTTTCTCCTGTTGTCTTCCACCTGGTGAGCACACAGCAATCCCAGAAACCTTGTATCTGTCACCTTTCCATTGCTGGGACAAAGTATTGACTTATGGAACTTCCAGGAACAGAGGGCTCAGTCCATGGTCTGCTGCTCCAAGGCAGAAACATCTCGAGGCAGGAGGGTAGGGGGAGGCAACCTGCTCCCCCCATGGCATCCAGGAAGTAGAGAGGGCAGGAGCCCAAGAGAAGGGGCCAGGGACCAAAGAGGGTCCCCAAGTCATGACCCCACCACCTGCTCCCTTCAGCTGAGCCCTGCATCCTGGTCCCACTGCCTTCCAGTAACGCCGCAGATTAACATCTTATCAGTGGAGCCCCAAAACCCAGTCACCTCCCGAAAGCCCATCCTCTGACTACAGGGGCTTTGTAGGGACATTTATATGCAGATCCTAATGTACCCCAGTCAAGTGGGAGAATTTGAACCCCTTCCGTTCCCAGGTCCACACACACAAGCCACTTGCCCCATTTGAGAAGGGTGCATGTCAGCAGAAGAGGGCGTGCATGCATGTGTGTGTGTGTGTGTGTGTGGGAATGTGTGCATGGATGTGCACATGTGTGCCTATGCGCGGGTATATGCACGCGTGTCCACATGTGTGTGTCTGCTTGTGCATGTGTGTAATGAGAAGCAGCTTGTTCTGAGCTAGTCACATGCAGCTCTCAGTTTCTCAAGCACAAGGTGAGAGCAGGTGTGGCCTTGAGCACAGGCATCTGTCTGTTTGTCTGTCTGTCTGTCGGAACAAGGACCCTAATACCCAAAGCCACCGCAGCACAGAGGCAGGGGTGGTATGGAGCAAAGCATGTTTCCCTGGTTTGTTTTCCTTTATCTACAAGGGTACAGAAGCAGAAAGAGAGAGAGCGTGGGTTGGGAACAGCTTATTACTACCCGCACAAGAGCGGCACCGAGGCTGACAGCTGTCAGAGCAACTCTGAAAATTAATGGGCCCGTAAATGCGAGTGCACTACGAGGTTTCTCCCCACACTGAGCAGAGCTGGGGACTGCACCAAGCATGGTGAGGACCCTGTGTGGAGTGGGCACCACAGAGCTGTCTTTATTGACCTTCTTGCAGCCAGGCAGGGTACAGGGCAGAGCCTCGCTAGCCCAGCTTGCAGATCCAGGGGTGGCTGCGAGTAGGATGTCCTGGTGCCAAGCCAGGCCCCGGCTTTAATGAGGACAAAGCCAGAGCCCGCTTTATCTCTGCTGCACAAAGTCAGGCACCCTCGGCAAAGTCACACCTCGCTCTCTGCCACAGCCAACCACAACACAAGACCACAACAGTCTTCTCGGGCAGTTAACAATTAAAGCAGATTAACAGGACACTGCCCCAAGACCCTGAGGAGCTGGGCACACGCTTAAATTTTTTAAGATGTGTTGCAGAGAAAAGTCATGCTGCCGCGAACTCCCTTTGAACACACCTGTCCCATGGTCCTTGCACTTTCTGCAGCAGCTCTGGAGCCCTCTTTCCTCAGGGTCTAGAGCTGTGCAGTCCGGGCTTCCTCCCTGTCCTTAATCACCTCAAACTATTCCCCTCTGGTGGTGATTCTCATTTGGGGCAGAGCTGGAAGTCACACGGTGCCAGAGCCCGTGACTAAGGAGGACGCAGTGTGATGCTCTTAGGAGCTGCCCTTCTGTCAGATGTCACCCAGAGCAGCACTCAGTGTGTTTTTCATCACATATCGAAAAGACCTTCAGGAAAGAGGACTCCAGAGCTGCTGCAGGAAGCGGCCGGGATGATGGGTGAGTGTGGAGATGGTGAGGAGGAAGGTTTGGAGGGGGATTCATGGCCATACGTCTTTTACTGTAATAATTTTATTTTTAACTTAAATATTCACTGTATATTTTGATCACACCTTCTCCATATCTATTGCAAAGCCCAGTCTGGGTGTTCTGACAGCCTGAGCCAACCAATATGACTGCTATCAGAGAGCCAGAGGCCACAGGGCCCCTCAGCCTGAACTTGCTCGGTGGCACACGCCAAGCTCAGGGTCCCTGGTGTACCAACCCCACCCTTGGTTCCCAGACTTTAGTCCAGGGCCCTGGCTCTGCAGCTCCAAGATGTGGCAGAAAAGGTGTCACCACCTCCAGGCAGCCTTCTCTGACGTCATCCTGTGCCCCTCCTTTGCTCCCAAAAGATTCCACCCCACAGCTATAGCAGGAAGACAAGTATCTGCACAGACCTGTCCACTGGGGAGAAAACCTCTAGAAGGAGCACACAATGGGGGCTCTTCAAAAAAAAAAAACAGAAATAGAACTGCCATCCAATGGGCGATCCCATGTTATCTGTTTATCCAAAGAAATGAAGCCCATGTGTGCCACACTGTGGCACCAATAATCAGGACAGGAACTCAGCCTCAGTGTCCCTCACCAAAGGGGCAGACAAAGAAAATCCAGCACATGAACGCAGTGGAAGACTACTCAGCCCGGGAAAAGTAGGAAATCCACCCTCTGCAGCAACGGAGGAAAAGTCTAGTTTATTGTCTTATGGCCCAGAGAGACAATGCCAGCTATTTCCCCCTGCGTGCAGAAGCTAAAATAAAGTGGGCAGAAGGTGGTGACCAGAGGTGGGGAGGAGGGATGGACGAAGAGAGGACAGCTAACAGGCACAAGAGTAGGGCACCAGCTTCTACTGTCCTTCAGCAGAGCAGCGTAGGAGCAGGTGGCACAACTGAATGCATATTTGAAATTAGCAGGATCACTGTGTTTGAGGCCAGCATGGGCTCCATAGCAAGATCTTGTCTCTAAAATCCAAAAAGAAAGAAAAACTATTAACCAACAGAGAAGATTTCAAATGTTTTCATGCCCAGAAATGATCAACAGTGAGGTGACCGGTAATGCAGACACTCCTTGTTATGGCACTTTCCCCCACAAATAGTACTAGCATTATCTGTGCCAATTAAAAAACTAAAGTTGGAAAAAATTCTGAGTGCCCAGCAGAGAGAAAACAGCACCATGGCGCTAGTGTCCTTGGCTACCAGGAACAGAGGAACAGAGGGACAGAGGGACAATTCATGCCAGAGACAGGAAGCAGGTAAGGAAGATGCAGAGCTTTGAAAACAAAAGGAGGAAGAGGCCGAGATAAGGAGTGGGAGGGTTGCAGGCACCTGGAGGAGAGCATCACTTCCAGCCGCTCTGCAGGCAAAAGCCCCAGGCCCCACACCCAGGGACAGGCTCTGAGTCCCCAGGCCTTTGCGCTTGCAGACAGCAATAGATTGCATGGCCCTTGGTGACTGCAATGCATTTTATGTCTGTAAAATAAATGCATCTCCCAGGTGTATATTTTACATCTGTTGTTTCGTAGATTAGCACCAGTTTTAAGGACTTTTAAATCAATATAAAAATGTTAAAGAAAATTGAGAAGGGCTACTCGCCATTCTAGGATGCTTGGAGAGCTGAGCACATTGTTAGAGTAGAATTACTCCTCAGCACAGTGCTCGTACACAGAGACAGAGGCAGGGTCTGTGTTCACTGACTGACCCATCCATCAGATGCTTAATATTTGTTGCAGTCGTGAGTTCGATCCCCAGTACCGATAAAAAGGAAAAAGACCAAAATATATATATATATATATATATATATATATATATATATATATTTGTTGAGGGACTGAGTAAATAAATGAAGGGAGGAAGGACAAAGTCAAGGACTGGGGTTAGCACAATATTTCCAGTGCACAGAATAAAGAGCCCTCGTTATAACCCCAAGCCCTTACGCAATGCGTTATTGACACCCTAAGTTGTGAAACCCGATCCAGGCTATTTCTCCTCTCCTCGGTGCCTCTGTGAAGTTTCTAACAAACAAGCAAACATTCCTGAATGTGAGGAATGCCTTCCCCCGCCTTGGTACACACCCTCCGCCCTGCCCTGGCCACCATCCCTGACCCCAGTTCTCAGCCTCTGCTTGTCCCCAAGTCAAGTCCAGACAGCTTTGGGTTCAGGCTGCTCAGAGCCGGCAAACCTCGGGGCGAGAAGAGTGTACTGCAGGCCAGGCATAGGAGTTTGCGCCTTTTCAAGGAGTTTATTGTTATTATTTTCCTTCAGCTCCATGGCACAACAGGCAGGAAGATGGGAAAGCAGCCATCACCATGTTAGGCAGAGTAAGCCAGACTCAGAATACACGTACTGTATGTTTGCCCTAATAGATGGAAATTTTTAAAAAGAAAGAACGTAGAAAGACTTATGAGGCAAAAGGAAGCGAATGAGGGTGGGAAGCTGTGGGGCAGGGTGATGGGAAGGGGATGATCAAAAGGTGTCGTTTGCATGGAGCAAAATGCCACACTGAAGCCAATATTTTATAAAAATAGTAGGTGTGATAAAGAGATATTTTTATAAAGCCAAAGAAACATTTTAAGTTAAGGAGAAGTGGGGTGAATTCCCTAATCAGAGCCCACACCAACAGCCTCTCTACTCCACGGTCCACTCCAAGAATCCAGGACCCCCATTCCTGCCCCCCAGACATGTGTGTGCTCACACACGTGTGTGTGTGTGTGTGTGTGTGTGTGTGTGTGTGTGTGTGTGTACAGACACAGACAAAGACAGGAACTCTCACTGGGGCCCTGCAGTTATGGGTCCACTCCAGGTGTCCACACAGAGAGATGGGGACAGCAAGAACCCAAGCAGATAGGCACACAATTCAGATGTCCGTCTCCTGGGACTTATCGGCTACTCCATGTGTATTAATCCAGCTTTGAAGACAAAGTTCAGTATTAATATTAAAGTACAGAAAGCCCCTGCCCACACGCACCATGACGCACTCCCAATGCGTACAATCCTTTTTTTTTTAATCTTTTGAGACAGGGTCTCGCTATGCAGTTCAGGCTGGCCTTGGGCTCACTTTGGAGCCCAGGCTGGTCTCCAACTTGCAACAATCCTCTTGCCTCAGCCTCCCAAGCACTGGGATGACAGATGTATGCCACCATGCCCAACGTATAATACCTATTTTTAAATAGGCTTTAATCCACTTTGACAAGTGTAGAGTTTCCCCCTAAACTTTTTTTGACAACAACAGAATAGCATTCCCGGGAAGGAAGTAGAAGCTAGAGATTGAAGACTTTCTTCCATCAGTCCTCAGAGCCAAGAGTTCGCCCCCAGGGCACAGCATCCGGCCTGCTCCAGCCTTGGCCGCTCTGTCCTGATAACCACAGCAGTACACTTCCACACTTCCGGTCACTTGTTTTCCAGGCCTGACAGAAATGTTCTCTTTGCCCCACTTGCAAGAGGGCACCCCTAAGCAAACAAGGCCCCTGTGGATGCATCTGAGAGGCGAAGAGAGCAGGAGGGAGGGTCCCACAGCCCCATGGGGACAGAGCGAAGGTGGCCACTCGTCATCCACACTTCACAAACACATCTGTGAGACATAACATTGTCCAAGGATATAGCTCAGTGGCACAGTGCCTGCCTGGCAAGCACAAAGTCCTGGATTTGATTCCTGGTTCCTGGCACAAAACAAAAAAAAGCATAACCTTAGCCAACTGTTGTCAGAAACAAGTGACCTCAACTCAGAGAAAAAATTTAAAAGAACATTTTTATAGAGACAAGATGGCTCAGCAGGCCAGTCTACCAAATGGCCCTGAATCAGAGGCCAACTTCAAAAATAGCCAGAGGCCTTGAGGAGGTGTATTTTCTCCAAAGACAACTCACAGGTGGCCAATAAGCACATCTAAGACCCTCAATCATCAGGGAAGGGCGGGTCAAAACCACCACGCAGCGCTGCTTCACCCGTCAGAAGAGCTGTCACCGAGACCAAGACCAAACAGAGAGTACCAAGCGCAACTGAGGAGCTGGAGAAATCACAGCCCTCATGCAGGGCTGGCGGCACGACAGAGATCTGGCGGCTGTGGGGGACAGCATGGCAGCTCCTGGAGAAATGACTGGAATCGCCATAGACCCAGCAAGTCCACTCCAGGTGTCCACACAGAGAGATGGGGACAGCAAGGACCCAAGCAGACAGGCACACAGCTGTGTCTGTTCCCCACGGGAGCGAAGCAGCAGGAACAACCTGAATGTCCACCGACAGAGGAATAGACAGAAAGCCTTGATGCGGCCCGTGAAACACCTCCCAGCCTCAAGGAGGAAAGGACTTCTGACATAGGCTGACAGCACATGAAGCTTCAGGGTGCAATGAGCGCATGCACTTTTAAAAATTTATTGCAGTAAAAGACACACTGACTCCCTCTCCAACACCTCCTCACATCAAGCACTTTTATCCTTGTGGCTTTATGAAGCACCTCCGGAGTCCTCTTTATTGAGTGCCTTGATCAAAAACATAATGAATATCGCTACCATCACCCAAAGGATGCAGCTCATACAAATGTGACATTGAGTCTTCATTCACCTCAGTCACCGGATTTGGCACCGTGTGACTTCCAACTCCTCCCCAAGGTCAAAATGACCACAAAAGGCAAACATGCTGAATCCATTCAGGACACGGAGGCAGCCAGGGCAGCGCACCCAAGACACTGAGGAAAGAGCACGCCAGAGCTGCTGCAGGAAGGGGCAGGAAGGACGGGATGCATGCGCTCAAAGCAAAGCATGAGGGAGGATTTAGAGGGAACCCATGGCAATGTGTCCTTTACTGTAATTTTAAAATTTTAGATAGCGGCGATACTGCTAAGTAAAATAAGCAAGCCGGTCACAAAAGGCCCAGTAGTGTATGAGCCCGTGCATAGGAGTTAGCGAGAATAATCAAATCACAGAGAGAGAAAGTACAGTGGCGGTCACCAGGGGACAGGACAGGCAGGGAGAGCATGGACAGGGCAGAGTCTCAGCCATGCACAAGGAAAAGTGTCGGGAAGAGGTGGGGCTGGAGGTTGTCTGACGGGCCAATGAATTACATACACACAAAGTGCTAAAATGTGAAACCTGATTTGTGTGTATTTTAACTACAATTTTTCTTTGAATTTTAAATCTGAAATAAAAATAAGAATCAGGACAGCAGGCATTTTTGTATTGAGTGTTTTTGGTTTTTTTTTTTTTGTTTGTTTGTTTTTTTTAGATGCTAGATAATTTTGGGGACAGAATTAAGAGTACAATTTTTTTATCTGTACCAAAAGACAACATGCTGAGAATCTGGAAAGTCTTAAAAAATCATACTGAATTTCTATGGTGTAGAGTTACATAAATTTATGTTACTATGTACATTTATATGCCTGTATTTTATAATGCATATAGTATGCTACCAATGACAAAAATCACCAACAGATTTCTATCTGAAATATATATGTCTGTATCACAGCTATGTTTCTATTAACACTGGCATAATTTGAAGCTTCTTGTTTTTTCAAGCCCTACCTCACAGTTTCCTCCAAATGGATACAAAAATGCTAAACTAACAAACCTTACAAATGTGTGTTCTCTATATTCGAAATTAAGACTAAGCTGAGTTTGCACTCATTTACCTCTTTAGGACGCAATGTAGGGTAATCACCTTTTAAATCTGTGCAAAGCACCCTTTAGTCTGCACCCTGCGCTTCACATGTAGTAATATTTCGTCTTGAGCATCTGCCTGTTTGATGCACATCCCTGATCCATAAAAGCAAGCTGGCAGGAACAGGGAGGAGTCCTGTTAGAGCCTGGCTCTGTTCTGGCCTCCACCAGCTGGTCACACTCAGCTGCGCGGTGGCACTGGGCTCCAGCCCTCACTCCCCCCCCCTGCTGTCTCTGCTCTGCAACAGGCTGATGACCCTCTATGGCAGAAGGTGCCACTTCTGTGCCATCTGTACCCTCACCTGCAGGAACTGGGGGGAAGTTGGGCCCAGCCTCAGCCTCCAGTGACAGCCCTTGCCAGCTCAGTGCAGGACCCTCCAGCCTCCACCAGCGCCCGCCCGTCCTACCCTCACACCTCCTGAGCTGTTCACTGTCTTGCTCCGAATCTCTACCTCTCAGGGCCCTGACCTCCGTGATCTTTCATCTATTTGCCCCTCTTGAAGACCCCTGGCACAGCCCACTGACGAACTCGAGCTCCCCTTCCTGCCTAGGCAGTCCTGTCCCCCTCTTGTCCTCAGCCAGCCCAGCTTCCGGCCTCCACTCTCCAGTGCCCCAGCCTCACAGGCCCAGCTTTGAGCCCCTGAGAACCCTCCTCTCCTCTCCCATCAATGAGCATAAGAAACCCCTCTGTCCTGCCACGCCCGTAAGTGGTGACGATGACATCTCAGGAGTCACATTTAAAACAGGTAGACAAACAGATGTCAGATGTCAGAAGGAGACACGGCCACCTTCATCAGCCTGTGAGTGCTGTAACCCTCCTCCACCCACCTGGTGCTGCAGGAAACACCTTCCCGGCAAGAGCACTGGTCAACCTGCGGTCGCTCACATGTGTGGTGCCAGTTATTGTCTGTAAACACATGCACTTGAGTGTACAACAGGTTGTGACTAGGAATGTATTTACAGAATGATGCTCCCCCCATACATCCGAGTCCTACTCCCAAAACTGTGCAAATGTGTCACTTTCGTAGCAAAAAGGACTTCAGAGATGCGATCAAGGCTGAGAGAGGAGGTGATGCTGAACTTTCTGGGCAAGCCCAGCCTAACCCCATGAGCCTTTCACAGTGGACACAGCCTTTCCCAGCCAAAGAGGAGTCCACAGTGGAGGAGGAGGGTCACAGCCAAGGGGTCACCTTAAGTTGGAAAGCTCAAGAGCGCAGCCTTCAGAAAGAAACACGGCCCCTTGGACCCATGATTATACACCTGGTGGCCGGAACAGTGTGGGAGCAGCTGGCTCTGGTACAGGCAGCGCAGAACTCACGTGGTGCACACACGCGTATGCATCACTGCTATGGCAGAGGTCCTAAGGACCAGACGTGGCCCATCGCCTGTGAACTCCCTGCAGACCCAGAGAGGGAGCACCCAGGGAGCAGTGACAGTTCCTTTCAGTACCTGAGATGAAGCCCAGACCTTCGCACTGAGCTCCACCCATCCCCAGCCCCATCCCTGTCCCTTTTTATGTTTTATTTTGACACAGGGTCTCCTGAGGTCACCTGGGCTGGGCTTGAGCTTTCTCCCCACCTGCCTCTGCCCGCACTAAGGGTTGGGGTGACAGACGGGCACCACCATGCCCAGTGGAGCGTTCTCTGCTCAGGGTTGACATCAGGTATAAGCCCAGACAGTAAGAATGGGATGTCAGGAGACTGCACGGTGCCTGAAGTGTTGCCAAAGTCTTCTGGCAAGTGAGAGGCTTTCTGGCAGGAGCCTCAGCCCAAACCAGGCCACAGGAAGCGCCTCTCTGGACTGAGATCATTGCTCATGATCAAGACAGTCTAAGAGTCAGCCTGCTTCCAGGAGGGGCCCCAGGGCCCATCCTGCTAGGAGGTGCACAGCAGGACTCAGACACGGAGATGGGGGACATTCCCCACCACGTCCCGTCTCATGCTGAGCCTGGGCCCACCGAGCCCCAACCCATGCTGGGGAGATGCAGAACCCTCCCCAGGGTGCTTCAGCTACCAATGGTTTAGAGGAGACCATAGATCAAACATGGGGTATCCCTGGGGAGGAGAAACCCTGGGAAACTGGGAAACCCTGATCCCACCCCGTGGTGGTGACACTGCCAAGACTCAAGAACTGGTCTCAGACACAGCATGTGATGGCCCAGGCCAAACCAGCAGGGCCAGGTAAGTGACGACATAACCCTGTCACCTGACCAAATTTTATCTGACTGCATCCTCCTGGGATCAGGAATAAGAAAACACAGGGCGAGGCACACAGAGAGGTCAGGGTGATAAGATCAGGTGTGTGGGTCTCCTCCCTCCGAGAATGGCCACGCGGTGTCCGGCAACCTGCCTGCAGCCGGGGAAGAAGGGCACCCAGCATGGCATCTCTGGCCCGGGAGGAGAGAGCACAGCCGGATTTCACAGGGATCAAACCTAACAGGGGCCCCCGAGGAATTATGCAGCAGATGGGAAAGCTGCCCACTTCGCAGGAGAAAATGCCGAGTCTAACGGAAGTTAACTGATCATCTGGGGTCAGAGGGTCAGCAGTTTACCTTGGGTCACACCTGAAGTGATGTACCTGGATCATTTCCAGGGGACAGCTCCAGACAACTGGGCAGTGTGATTCCAGGTTTCAGGGTACAGGGGGGCTGCAGCTGAAGGAGCATAGAAGAAACAAACGAGGTAGAAAGAAGACAAAAAGATTGTAATTTTTAAAATACCCTTTTAAGAAAACTGCGGCTTCAGTACACAATCAAAGTTACCAAAGGTCACAATGCCTTTTTGCTGTCTAGAGATTCACGCCAAAATTTTTTTTTCTAAGGGTCTTCAAGGTATAAGACACCTGTGAAGTGAGCCCGGCTTTTCCTCTGCTACTATGGATTCAGAAATCCCAGACTTTGCCCTGAAGGCAACGTGCCTGGGAGTTAACCGGGTGCTGAGTCCCTAAACCTCAGATACTCACTGATAGTTTCACCCACACCTGACCCGGGCTGGTAAATCCATTTTCCTGGCAGTGACTCATCTTGAAATGTTTTTTCCGTGACCCACTTCGGTGAACCCCACTTTGTTTGTTTGTTTGTTTGTTTGTTTGTTTTTGTCTTTTTCATTTTTATCGGTACCAGGGATCGACTGCCTGCTTGCAAGACAGGTGCTTATGCCGCTGAGCTAAATACCCAGCCCCGATCACCCACTCTGTGGCTGGGCCAGCTGAGGTCCCCAAGGCCTCGGCAGGGGACGCCCTCTGACCCCATGTGGGGACAGAGCCACAAGGCCTGCCAGGCTCCTGGCTGGTTTCCCCTCTGCTTGCTCCTCTCACCTGTAAATGAGGGGTGATACCTGAGTCTCTGTAAATACCCAGCTGGTAAGAAGGCGCATCCCAAGGGGAGAGAGTCTGCACCCCATCCTCAGAGTCACGTGCAGGGAGCCCCGGCTTCCAGCAGTTGAGCTGCTTCCAGCCTTCCTAAGGGAAATGCTGGGGAGATATCCTCACTCTGCACCAGGCCCCTCCGAACGCTCTTGGATTAGAGGCATATTGAGGAGGAGCCCTTTCTGGAAAGTGCTAAGCCAGTGAAACCCAATGCCCTTGTGACTGGCAGGGCAAGGACGGTCATATGGTCACTCATGGTGCAATAGGCAGGAGTCAGGGAACCCCGCATGCTCAAGGGCACAAATGCATGCTTTTTACGGATGACTTGCAGAGGGAGAGGCAATGTCCAAGGCCCCAACAGGAAGTACCCCAAGCTTGGCTGTGGGTTGTGGCAACTTTGTTACCAAGGAAACTCAGTACCCTGCAGCACCCTGGCAGGGAGCACTTCCTGCCCCTCAAACCTCTCACTGCATCCCCTCTCCCCAGTGGCTTTGTCAAGGACACACACTGGAAACTGAGGCAGCTAGGAACCGTGTCCTGCTTGGGTCACAGAATGGTGATGAGCGGAGTAGGCCTGAGGCTCTATCCAGCCCCCCCAAAGGCCTGAGCACCGGTAGAAGCCCCCCTGAACACCCACCAGGGGCTGCTCCTCCCAGGCTTTCTGGACCAGCTCAGGTGCAGCCTGCAGGTGAAAGGAGCAGCCTCACCACAGCCAGGATTTCTATCTAGCGTGGGTCGTGGGTCGTGGGTCGGGGCCAGGCCTCCTCTGGAACTGCCGGCTCAGAGGCCTTGGTGCAGCTGTGGGGCCCTGATGCGGAAACCAGCAAGGGGGAGATAAGGGATCGGAGCTCTGGGGCCTGGGCCACTTCCCAGCCAGGGGCCGGAGTGTGGCTTCTTTTACGCTTTCAGACCCAGGGCCCTGGAAACAGAGCTTCCTGCTTCACTGCTTAGGAGCTGCCGGGTAAATCACCACGAACCAGCCAGCCATGAGGGCGCACGCCTGTCATGGTACACACCTGTCATCCCAGTGCTCTGGGAGGCTGAAGCAGGAGGATTGCAAGTTTAAGCCCATCTTAGTGAATTAGTAAAACCTAGTGAAATAGAAAATTTTTTAAAAAGGGCTGAAGACATAGCTCAGTGCAAAGGTCCTGGGTTCAATCCCAGCACTGAAAAAGAAGGAAGAAAACTACCACAACCCAAATTGTGATTCCATTCTTACCTAACAGAATTTTATCCTCTCGCAGTGCTGGAGGCCAGAAGTCTAAAACCCAGGAGTGGACAGGAACAGGTTCCCACTCCTGTTCCACTTCCGCTGCACAAGCCCCCACCCACCCTGGTACACTCAGCCTGTGGTTGCCTCTGTCTTCCCAAGGCCTCTTCCCTGTGTGTCTCTTCCTCTTGGGACACTGGTCATCGGGCTTGGGGACCACCCTCCCCTATATGGACCCACCTTGACTTAATACTTACATCCACAAAGACCTGCTTCCACGTTAGGTCACCTGCTGAGGCCATGGTGGATGTGGATCTGGAGGGACCCTTCGCAATGTCCCACAACACCTTCTTTGAGCCGAACATGGCAGCACACACCTATAATCCCAGCACTCTGGGAGGCTGAGGCAGGAAGATCTCAAGTTCTAGGCCAGCCAGGGCAACTGAGAGAGACTTTTTTTTTTTAAGAGAAAAAAGACACAGAAAAGAAAAACAAAAAGCAAAAGAGATAACAACAAACCCAAAACAATAACAATATAGGCTTTCAAAACAAGATGACAGGAATTTAACAGTGGCTGTTATATTGCATATTGTTATCTTCAAAGAGTTGCTTAGATGACCAGATATAGACATGCAAAATTGACCTAATCACATGAGTATTAACTGTTCTTTTCCAAGAATTAATAGAATTAGTAGTATAGTCATCTTAGCTATCTTATCTGTCTCTCTCTCTCTCTCTAATATATGTATCCAAATGTATGTCTTTTTCCTTTTCCCTTCTTTCCTTTCTCCTTCAGTGTGGCGATTACTCAGAAAGCTATGATGAGAGGTTCCATTTGATCCATCTATTCCCCTTCTGGGTATTCCCCCGGAAGAAATGAAAACATGATATATGTGCACCCATGTTCATAGCAGCACGATTTGTAATAGCCAGATCTTGGAAACAACCTAAATGCCCTTCAAATGAGGAACGGATAAAAAAGATGTGGTGTTTTTATATACTACTCAGCTAAAAGCAAGACTGCATCCAGGCTTTTATAGGTAAATGGACGTGACTTGAGACCATACTCATTAAGTGAGATAAATCAAATTCACATGGGTAAATACCATGTTGTCTCCCTACTGTAACAGACCTACTGTACCAAATAGACAAATAAGATTCAAAGTCTACAGTAAATATTGTGAAAGGGTAAAAAACTGCTCAAAGGACAGAGTCTTTCTCAAAACAAGTTAAAAACAAAGATCTGGAAATGTGGTCCAGGGCAAAGGCTCTAAGCTCAGTACCTGTATCCCCCACCAAAAACAAAGCCCCACTTTCCACCAGGTTTAGCCAAAGAGCAAATCTCCCTTGCTCTCCTCCCTGAAGGTTGCAGTCAAGCCACACATGGCTCTGTCCCCTCGGGAACTCTCACCTGGCTCTGCCCTGGAAACATCTTTTTTTAACCTAACTAAATTTAGGAGCAAGCCAGCCAGTAGAATAACAGGAAGCTGGCCCCAGCCGGGAGCCGCCCACCCCATCTCAGCTTCCTTCCGTCCACCTCCTCCAGACCACTAGGCTGCCCGGCTGGGAAGGCTCTGTGTCCCCAGCCAGGCGATGGCAGAGACTCAGGGTGCAGGCTGGGCACACCCCAAACAGAGCTTCCCACCTAAGGGACAAAAGCCTGGGGACACCGAGCAGCCCTTGGCCAGGCCAGGGAAACCCAAGTCCTGAAGATGTGAGATTCAAATCCAGCCCTCGAATCCTCCTCCCACCCAACTCCACACTCACTCCAGTCACTACCTGTCACAGAGTGCTAGAAACAGCCCTGCTCAGAGGGATGCTCCCTGGACAGGACAGATGTTTGAATTTTATATTTTCATCCAGGGATAAAACAGCTATGAAAATTATTCCACTTCCATCAACTCACAGTTGGGAGATGATTTCCCAGCAAAAAAGCAATTCTGTGTTTTAGTAACCAGAACAAATCTTTGTTTTGGGAGAGGTGTTTAGTTTTTGTCTCTCTCTCTCTTTTAATCTCCATCTAAGTCTCACAGAGATGCACAAGGCACTGGCATCGATCTGCAGTCTGGGGTCCTCTGGGCGTGTTCCCAGGGTGGGGACGCCGATGTCCCCTAAGAACAGGCTGAGATGAGGCCTTCTGACCTGGGCCAGCAGCTCTGGGAGGCGTGAGGCCTGACCCAAACCTCGAACCCAGAGTGTCTCTATGTGGATCTTACTTGCCATCTGCTTTGTCCTGGCCTGGGTCCCCAACCCATCAGGGGCTGCCCCATGTCCTGAGGTCTCCCTGCATTCCTGTCACGCCTCTGTGATGTCACAGCTGCCACTGCTGAGCACCTACACCTCAAGTCGGATTCTGTGTGGCTGGGCGCACCCTCCCTACCACCTTGAAACAACAAACAGCCTGGCCAAAGCCTGGTAGCAACTTCAGCTTCCCAGATGAGAAGGTGGAAGCCCAGAGAGGGAAGCAACATTCCCAGGATCCCCTGCTGGCTGCCTGTGCTGGGTGGAACCACCGTTTGGCCCCGCACCCACAGATGCGGACCCCACAGCAGACCGCCTACTAGGGTGGCTGCTGGAAGAGCTGCAGCACCCATGCTGCAAGGGCCTTTAGGGCCAGGGCAGGCCAAGCCCTTCAGCTCATGGACAGGATGCTAAGTCCCAGGGGTTGGCACCTATTCCAGTGCTGGGAGACACCACGGGGTGGGGGGGGGACACATGAGAAGTCAGGGCTCAGGTCAAGGGCCCAGAGCAACCCCTTCCACTTCCAAAGCTTCCCCAGGTCCCCAAAGGTAAGAACCGGAAGTCAGAATCCAGCAACTGGAAGTCTGAATTTAGGAACCAGAAGTCGGAGTCCAGGAGCCGCAAGGGCTTCTGTATCCCTCCGTGATGAGTGCCATGGCGCCTCTCAGCTGCTCCTGTGAAATTCTTCTCTTCAATTTTTTCCTCCGTGCTATCAACCTATCACCTGTTTTCAGGTGCTGTCCACTCTGTCCCACTGCAGTCCACACAGCTTCCGTTTTGGGTGAATTTCCACTCTTTCTTTCTCTAACATTCACACTTGGTGCCTCCCTTTCCTTGCCACACTCCAGAGTTTGAACTCTTAACCACTTACATGGGGCTGCCCGTTTTTTTCCTTGGTGAAATATACATTTGAATAACTGGCCTTCTGAGGAGTGATCACAGTATATAGTGAAGGGTTAAATTTTTAAAGTTACTACAGATTGCCATGAATCCCCTTCACAATATTCCCTCTTGCTTGGAATACGTTTATCCCACTGTTCTGGTCACTTTCTGAAGCAGTTCTAGAAGTCCCTTACCAGATGTGACCAAAAATACTGTAAATGAGTGCCATCACACAGAAAAGCAGCTCAGGAAAGCATGACACTGTGTCCTCATCTGCCTTGTTCACTGCATCTGGCACCTTGCAACTTCTGGCTCTTCTCCAAAGTCCAAATGACCATGAAAGGAAACATTCAGGACATCAAGGCAGCCAGGACAGTGCAGCTCAGGAAAGAGGACTCCAGAGTCACTACAGAAAGTAGCCCGGGTGGTGGAATGAGTGTGTTGGAACCAAATGGAAGTATTTTGTTTGGTACTGATGGCAATGTCTTTTGTTGTAACAATTTTTTTACTTTAAGGATTCACTCTAATTTTCCGGTCACATCTCACCTCATATTTCTGTCACCTTTCAGCCTGCTGAATGAGTGTCTTTGTGTGGCCACAGCATAGCTGTCATTGACAATAAGCCCACTCTGATCCTGCTGTGGGGTCACTGCCAACAACATGGTTATATTACATACACCACCAACCATTGCCCCACCCCAACAGGGGACCTTCCATTGTGTCTCAGAGTGGAAAGGAAGCTGAATCATCCCAAAATGCCAACAGACACACTTCTCTTTACACAATGACAGCATGTGCTGGAGGTTAGAGTCATTCTTGTTGCCATGCAAGCATTTCGGTTATATGCACAAAATAGCAT